ACCTTTGTCCTTGAGGGTGAGGATCACAGTCTCCCCTTCACGGAAGGAGTCAATAGCGTGCTCCACGGTGAGGCCCTGCAGGTCTCGGGCACTGTACAGGTCCTAGAGAGGTGGACAAGAGCCAGCAGAGTCAGGAGCCCTGGCCCACTCAGACCTGGGATCCCAGCACCAGGACGGCAGGGCCCCTGCTGTGCTGCAGCCTCACCTGCCGCCTCTGCCCAAATTCCTCCTCCACCAGAGTGCTGACACCGAACTCCTGGTCCATCTCCTCCAACAGCTTGGCCTGTGGAACAGAGGGGAGGCGTGACCTACAAGTCATTCAGAAACACCAGAAAACGCCCGCCAGGTGCACAGCCAGGTTCTGTCAAAGGACAACGTCAAAAGTGCGGCCTCGCAGGTGAGCTGCTGGGAATCCAAAGTGACACACAGACCTCCGAATGCTAAGGCCAGCCTCGCCAAGGGTCAGTCTCCTGCCTCGCCACCCAGCCAGGCCCCACAGGCACTTCGTCCCCACCAGGAGCTCCCCAGGAGCTTCACCCTCTTCTCTGCCAAGTCCTTCTCCTTCTGAAGCTGTCGGCTCCTCTCGATCCAGGCTGCAGTGTCATCCAGCCATGGGTCGTCCTCCCCCAGGGTCTTGATCTTCCTGAAGAAGGAGAACAGTGGCCCTGAGGAGCCCAGCTCCTGTCCCCCAGCCCAGCGCCAGAGCTCCAGCGCTCCTCAGCAGCCTCCCCAGGCCCTCCACCACCACCCTGGGGGGACCCCCTCACCCCAGCTTCTGGTTCAGCAGGCGCTTTTCCTTGGCAGCCGCCAGCTTCTCCCGCAGCTCCTCTCGCTGTCGCAAGATCATGGGGTTGATGACATCGGCTGCCAGGGGCTCCTCCTTGGTGCCCGCCTCTGGAAGGGGGGCCCAGATGTGAGGCCACGCCTGCCCCCAGGGCTGGTGGGGAGAGGAGGGAGCCGCTCACCCTGCCCCCTTCCAGCTCAGGGGGCCAGAAGGGGCCAGGAGGGGGGAAGAATCCTTCTCCTCTCTACTGCAAAGTCACCCCCACACAGCATGGCAGAACCCTCCATGCCTTCCAAAGCCCCTCAGAAGAGGCTTTAAACAAACACCTGCTTGGCCCAAAGCCGTTTGCAGCAACTGCACGTCTCGCAGCCCACATCATGCCGCTTCAGAGCAGAGTGACGATGCAGTGACCCATGGGTCACACTGACAGGACCAGCAGGGCCCCCCGCATGTGCGTACCACATGCCCACCAAATGGTGGGGAATCTGAGCTTTAATCCTCCTCTCTTCAAAGACCCCTTCAGTGGCCTCCCCCACCCCATCCTCAGCCCTACACTCACCCTTCTTGACAGCATTGACCTCCAAGGGTTTCAGCCCCAACTTTGCCCGGAGTTTACTAAAAACAAGAGACACAGTGTTAGGGACCGTCGGGAAATGGGGCATGAGATGCACTTCTTCACACAGAGAGTGAAAACGGGACGGGAATGAGTGGTTCTAAGGCTCCCAAAGACGTGGTTCAGTGCTCAGCTGCTAATGGAAAAGTCAGCAGCTCAAACCCTCCAGCCGCTCTGCAGAAGAAAGATGTGGCAGTCTGCTTCCATAAAGATTACAGCCTCGGAAACTCTACGAGGCAGTTCTACTCTATGACTCGAAATCAACTTAGTGACAATGGTTTGTTCTTTTTCTAAGGTTCCCAAACACGGGGCCTGCCCCAGGCAGCCTGGGCACTGGGAAAGGCGCTGGCCTCCAAATCAGGGAGCACGGGCGCTGGGCCTGGCCTGCCCCAACCAGTGGAATGCCACCCTTCCTCCTGGGTTTCAGTTTCCTCTTCTGTGACCCAAATGGTCGGCCAAGATGATTCATCTAGCCCGTCCAACCTCCATCAGAACGCGTTAGTGTGTGAAAGCCCCCTCGAGTGGCTTCTGTCTCAGTAGTGCCTGAGAAGGCACTTGTCTCAGAAGGAAAAAGTAAAAATCCACGAGAAACAGGACATACTTGGTCTCCTCGATGCTGAGCGATGAGGCATCTCCTGAGCTGGTTTTGGAGGTGGCAGCTGGAACAAGAAGAAGCAGGGCTCAGGAGCTGAGCAAAGGGCCAAGAAGCCAGCACCCTGGCTCCAGCCAAGGGCAGACATGAGGGTCCCTCACCAGCACCGGACCCTGCAGAGACCCCAGAAAACAGCAACAACCTTGACCTTACCCCCAGACTCACAAACAGCAAATAACTTCACCAGACAGCACAGAGAAGCCAGACACCATCAGATAGAGCTCCCCAACCAGCTGCTACCACATGCTCATCTACCTGCATTCCCACCCCACCAACCCACCTCCTCCCCTTTTATCCCAAAGGTACCCCTCTCCACCTGGGCCCTGGATCCTAGCCCCTCTGGGCTTTCTCCAAGGCCCCCAACCTCCTGATTTCTGAATCCAATGGACTCCTTCCAGCTTGGTTTTTCTTGATCCCGTGTGTCACGTGTGGGACACTGTCAATCACTCCCTTCTAAGAGCACCCTCGTTCCGAGATCCCATGACACAAGACTCTCCTGGTTTTCCTCTTGCCTTTTTGGCTACTCGACGTCCTTTTTTGGAGCCTCTTCCTCCACCCACTTCTAAAATATTGGCATTTCCCAGGTTCTCCTCCCCACCCTGGTTTCCCACCCCATGCTCCCTCTGAGGGGGCTTTATCTGCCACCTAAACACTCATGACTCCCAAGTCGCCCTCTCCAGCCCAGACCCTGGACATCAAACTCAGCACTCTCCAAGACGGAATGCATGGTTTTCCCCCCAACAAATCTGCTTCTCCCACGACCTCTTCCATTTCAACAGATGGCAGCATCACTCACCTAGCTGCTCAAGCCAAAATCCAAGAAGTCACCCTCTACTCCTTCACCACTCTCATCCAAGCGCTAAGTTCTGTCGATTCCTCCTCCAAAACACCTCTTCATTCTGTTCAGTCTCTCCATCCCACTGCTGCTGCCTGGGTGCAGGCCACCATCAGCCCCTCCGGCACGCCTGACCTCACTGCCTCCAGTCTTGCCTACCCAGTTCTCAGTACAGCCATCTTTACAAAACGTGAATCTGATCATCTCACCGCTCCCCATCTCAAATCCCTGGCTCCTCACTGCCCTCAGAGTAAAGTTCAAATTTCTTAACAGGATCTACGGGACCCTTCATGTTCCAACCACTCACTTTCTACCTTAGAACCTCCTGTCTCTACTATGAATGGTACACGATCCGCCAAATACCAGGCGCGCTCTTGCTTCTGCACACGCTGCTTCTATTTCATTCATTCATTCACTCAACACAATGAGGGTCTATGATATGCAAACAAACTGAGGAAAACAAGTGAACTGTGCCTCGTAGAGCCGAGTAGAGTGGGACACTGTTTAACCCCAACCAACTACAGGAAGGCTCTTTACTAAGTTCTGATGATGAGAGTCTGGGGGTGCCTGGGCCTGCAAGCACCGGGACCCCACACCCCAGGACCCTGGCCCTGGCCCCTCCGAAGGCCCCGCCCCTCACCGGCCTCGTAGCCGTCGTCACGCTTCTCCCGCTTCACGCGCCGCTCGGAGGCCTCGGCCTGGCTGCGCTCCCGCCCATGCGCGCTGCCGCGGGCCTCAGCCTCGGCCCCGCGCCGTCCGCTCCCGCGCTCGCCCCCGCGCTCCCGGCTCCGCTTCCTTCGTTCGCCGCCGCTGCTGCCACTGCCGCCGCTCCGGTGCTTGTGTTTCTTGTGCTCCCGGTGCCGCGGCGGCTGTTCTGTGGCGCCCCCAGTGCTGGTCGCCGCCGTTGTCCCGGCCGCCTCCTTTTCGCCCCGGTGCTTCTTTGACGACCCCATCGTGGCACGTCCACCCCGAGCCTGGCCACCGCCGAGTCCGGACGACGCAAGATGAGAATACTTCCGGGTCGCCCGGCTGCCGCTGTTTTGTTGCCGGAAACCAAGAGCGGCTGTTTCCCTCGTTCGCCTTGGAGGCTGCTACAAAGGCTCATGGGAAGGCCGGAAACGAAGTCCGACTGCGCAGTCGCAGCCGCTTCGGGCGGGGTGGTGGCCTTGGAGTTAGTGGTCTGAGTGCGCATGCGCTGCACCAGGTTCCCCGATCCTGGCTTAGAAAGCCGCGGTCGTGGACTCCCGGAACTCTGGAGATTTATGCGGCTTTCTAATCTAACATCCCTATAGCTGGAAACCTTTCCCCGGCCTCCTTCAGCTTGCACACCCCACGGGTCGCCTCGGGGCGCTCATTGCCACTGGATAGGCGTCCTCCTAGTGTACTCCTTGGGCCCGTGGCTTCCTCAGGTGTTGGGCGATGCGCATGTCCTCCTCTTCCAGAACCCCCAGCTCCAAAGCCCAACCTCCGAGCCCCACAGCCAGTATTGACCCCAAACGCTGCCTCCCGACGTCTCCTGGGTTGGATTTTTTTCAGCGGGGTCTGTGAACGGCTAAGGCGCTCCGGATGAGCCTCTGTGTGTCTGAACTCCCCGAAATGGAGCGCAAAATTTGACACGTCTGTGTGTGTAAGCATATATACATATATTTTTAACTTGAGCAGAGAGGGGCTGTAACTTTTAGGCCCAGTGCACACAGTCCCTTCTGACACCTCCCACCCAACAGCTGCTGTATCCGACTCCTGGGTTCTGGCGGCTCCCCGTGCCGCCCGTCTCTGCACGGGTCATGGTGTGTTGTACGCGTCCCTTTCACTGGCTTCATTGCCACTGGGCTGGGAGTCCTCAAAGGCCGGGGCCTTGTCTGTCCCTTTCACCGCTGAGTTCCTAGGAGGCAGCATGTGTTGGTACAGTTGGAGACTGAGGGTGGGGGAGTCAGAGGGGTTCCCCTTCAAGCCGCCCCTCCCTCCAGAAGCAGAGACAGAGCGGCCAGAGCTCGGGGGATGAGGGCAGAGACTAAAGCTTCCTGCCCACCCACTTGCCACCTCCTACTCCCAGCCTCCAGCTGCCCTCCCCCAGAAATCCAACACTGCATTTTCCATAAATCCTTTAATTTTTATCTCAGGGACTAGATGCTGCATCTGGGCTGGGGGTGGAGGGTCTGTCAGGCTGGCTGCTGGTGGGTCTGTGTTCTGTCCTTGGGGCGCTCTGAAAAGGGTGCTCCATTCTCACCCCTATTGACCACACACAGATGGAGGCTGCTGTGCTCGGCGTCTCCTGATCCCCACCCCGCTCCCATGCCCAGGGAGACCTGGGCTCTAGGAGGGGAAGACTTGTCTTTGACCATGGGAGTTCAAGTCTCAGCTCCTACACTGGTGTGTTGTGTGACTTTCCTTCTTGAGCCTCAGTTTCCTTACTGTGAAGTGGGCCTCATGATCCCCTACTTCCATACCAGGTTATTCTAAGGAGTAAGGGATGGTATACTAGGGACTACTGGTGGGGCACTAGCCCCATAGTGGGAGCTTGGGGTGTGACCTCGCAGATGGCCAAGGAGCCCCAGACTGGCTCTGCTGCTTGTCTGTGTCCTTCAGCAAGGCCCTGTCCCTTGGGTCCTCCGTTTCCTCATTAAGAAGTGGGCGGAATAACCCTGGCCCTGCCTTCCCCGGGTGACGTGGAGGACGGGAGGGCCTGGGGAAGGCCCTGCTGATTCCTGGGGCTAGGCCGTGTCCTCCAGGAAGGGGAGTGAGAAGGATGGCACAGGGCAGGACTGAAGCTTAGATTCGGGGCTGATCCATGTGGCTGCCCCTGTGGTTCCCCCCAGCCTTTCCCCAGATGTCCAGCCCTAGGCCAGGTGGGGGTGGGGGCCAGGCGTGGGATTCTGCAGGGCTCCGAGCACTGGTGTTGGGCCCCCTCTCCCCCAGCTCAGCAGAGCCAGCTCCTTGGCCAACCAGCCGGCCTCACCTAGGTTTCCTGGAGGTGCCCTCCTTGTCTTCCTTTCCTGCCTCAGCCAGCAGCTGCTCCTCATCCAGGCCTAGTGCCGACAGCACCTGGGAGAAGCGCCGGGTCACAGTGAGCCGGGCGTTGGCCTGAAGAGAGAGAAGATGGGTTCCCGCCCTGCACCGTGGCTGCAGAGCTCCATGAAGCTATGATCACTGAGGAAGTCTCAGAGCTTCCAGGCCAGCAGCAGCCTGGGGGTCCCATTTGAGGGGGCCGCTCACCACCTCGCTTCCCTCCTCACTCAGCTGGGGAGATGCTCTGTCCTCAGGGGAGGTCATGTGCTTGCCCAGTTGCTGGCCTTACCTGCATGGCCTGCTGGAACAGGCAGAGCCTCACCTGCATGGCCTGCTGGAACAGGTAGACCCTCACCTGCATGGCCTGCTGGAACAGGTAGGGCCGTGCCTGGACCCTGTGCTGGATGCCCTGCAGCTCCGCCTGGTACTCAGCAAAGCGTTGTCGCTCCTGGCGCCTGCATGGGAGACAGGTCTCAGGGCGGCTAACCTGCCCCCAGGCCCTGTGGCCCCGTAACACAACCCACCCCATCCTGAGTCTTCCATTCTCACTAAGGACCCTGTCCCCTACAACCCCACCTTTATAAAGCCACTTCATCCCCATCCTGCCCTGGATTCCTGGTGAGGTCATCAGGATGGGAATTATTCACCCCATTTCACTGATAAGAAGCCTGAGGCTCAGGAGGGTTGAGGGACTTGTCCAACATTGCCCAGCTGGGAAGTAGGGGACTTCCAAGCTGTACAGCCAGGGTTCACCTGGCCTCTCAGCCATCCCCAAGGGAAAGGGGTCAGGACAGGCTTATGAGCCCCTGGATATCTGCTTGCACAGCCTCTTCCAGCCTGCAGTCCCACACCCCTGCACACTCTCCCACTGCAGCACCGAGGAGGAAGCTGTGGTTGCTGGCTATGTGACTTTGGCCAAGGCACTGCTCTTCTCTGGGCTTTTGGCTCAGTTTTCTTCCCTCTAGTGGGGTTTGGTTCCTGGGTGGCACAAACGGTTTGCACTCAAGTGCTAACCAAAAGGTTGGCAGTTTGAACCAACCCAGCAGTGCCATGGAAGAAAGGCCTGGAGATCTGCTTCTGTAAAGATTATAGCCTAGAAAACCCTATGAGCAGTTCTACTCTGTAACATGTGGGGTGTCTGTGTTACATAGGGTTTCCGAGGCTGTAATCTTTATGGGAGAAGATTGCCAGGCCTTTTCTCCTGCAGAGCCACTGGGGGGCTTGAACCTCCAACCTTGTGGTTAACAGCTGAGTGCTTAACCATTGTACCACCGGGGCTCCTAATGAGAAATGAGCTCCATTGGGTTTTCTTGGCCGTAATCTTTATGGAAACACCACCAGGCCTTTCTTCCGCACCCCTCAGAGTGGATTTGAACAGGCAATCTTTCAGTTAGTAGTTCAGAGCAAGCCATTTGCACCACCCAGAGACCAAGAACATAAGTCACTGCAAAAATGGGGTCTTCCCCATATAAGCGGGAATGTACAGCAGTTATGAGGTTGGGGAGCATGAGCTGGCCGCCCATCTCTGCATTTTTCCTGCTTGGTACTTTGTGCCATTTCTGTTAGGAATAAGAAGCAGCTCACCTCCCAGAGCTCCAAATAAGAAAGGAAGCATTGCCAGTGGAGGCCAACCCTGCCCATGTCAGGAATGGAAGGCAGACACGTCGCTTCCCTATCATGGGGTGTGTGCAGTGGGCCTAGTCCATGGGGCCTCACTGTGGCCAGACCTCTCTCTTGCCGGTCCCTCCTCAGCAGGGTGGGTTTCTGGTGCTGCTCAAACACAGCAAAGTTCACGGGCAGGCAGGCCTGAGAGACCAGGTGGGAACTATCTGCTTATGCCTTAGCCCGCTCTTGAATAGAAAATAAATGAGGCGTGGTGAAACCCTCTTCTCCTGGCGTCTACCCTTGGAGTTCTGAACTTTAGGTTCCCTGCCTTATTAAAAAAATTAACCAACAGTGAACTTGAGGCCTGGCAAGGAGGAGGCATCTCCCTGATCATTGACCAAGGATTCCCCTAAAATCTGCTTGGCCTCTCGGAGCCTTGGTTTTCTCATCTGTAACATGGGGGCAATGAAACTGAGCCACAAAGAGCAGTTGCTCAGAGGCCAACCCAGTCCTCAGTGGCGGCAGGGCAGGAACCTGCTTCTGTCTTCACACTTGTGCCAGAACCAAAGGAGTGAGGGGCGGAAGGGGCTGCGCTGGTGCCAGCTGCACCTAGTAGATGCTCAATATTAATGGCATCGTTGATTATATTAGTTTGTATCATCTGATTCATTAGGTTGGGCTTTGGGGGGAATATCCTGGTGCACCTTACCTCCAGATGGGCTGTTTGCACGCTCACGAGCAGAGCAGCAAGGTAGCCAAGGGGCTGGCTGGGTCAGAATCCCAGCTCTGCCACTTGTGATCTTTGGCATGTTATTTAAGCCCTTTGAGCCTCAGTTTCCTCATCTATAGGATTATTGTCGTTAGCTGCTGTCAAGTCAACATCCCGAGTCATGGCGGCCCCATGCACAACAGCATGACACTCTGCCTGGTCCTGCGCCATCCCAATGATTAGTTGCAGATCAGACCGTCGTGATCCACAGGGTGTTCATTGGCTGATTTTAGGAAGTAGTTCCCCAGGCCTTTCTTCCTAGTTTGTCCTAGTCTGGAGGCTCCGCTGAAACCTGTTCAGCATCATAGCAACACGCACGCCTCCAATGACAGACGGGTGGTGGCTGCGCATGACGTACGTTGGGAATCAAACCCAGTCTCCCACGTGGAAGATGAGAATGAACCATCACTGCCCCATAGAATTACAGGAACAGGAATGGTGATCACACCTACCTCATGGGCCTGTTATGAATTTGAAAAAACATTTGCCTGGATTCCAAGTTTACTTTTAAAAACTGATCAAAATATAGGAAGAGGGAAAAACACAAGTGGCCCTTCACTTGGCCATGAACAGCGATTGTCTCCGGGAGAGCGGTCAGGGACTGTTCACATTCTGCAGGAACTATTGCTGCAACAGTTGAATTGTTATAATAAGCATGTCTGGCATTTGAAGTCAGAAGAACAAAATGTGAAAATGTGATAATGCATGATGTCAACCATTTTAACCTTGAGTTCTCAACAGCTATTGGGCTTGTTATTATTAACTGGGTGACCTTGGACCAGCCCCTTCTCCTCTCGTGCCTCAATGTCTTCATCTGTAAAATGGGTTGAAGTGGAGAGATGGCCGTGGAGGCTCAGCCCTGAGGGAAGTGAGGGCTGGGTCTCCTCCATCCCCCAATTGGATCCTTTCATGGCCTCCCTGCCAGCTCCCCTCCAGCTTCTCCGAGCCCCTGGCCTCCTACCTCAGCTCCTCCAGCTTGCAGCGGGTGGCTGTTGGCCTGCGGCTCCCTCTGGGTGCGTAGGCTGCCAGGCAGCGAGCTACCTGCTGCTGTACCCGATGCTCCCGGGCCCGGCGCAGCTCAGCCCGCTGCTGCTCTTCCTGCTGCTGCCGCTCCCAGGACTGCAGCAGGCTTCTTGGGTGGAGAGAGGGGAGGAAGACGGATGGGAGAAGTCCTTGAGGGGATGGGAGTCTCAAGGAGGGTCAGGGGCCGGGTAGGGGAGTATGAGGACCTCCGGGGAGGAATTGTGGGAGCCCAGAGAGCCAAGGTCTTGGGGATAGGGTTTGTCATGACAGTCTGATGTGGTGGAGGCCTGCATCGGGGGGCTCAGCCTTCCCTCCTCTTCCTGGAAGGCTCTTGCTCACCCCTGCCAGCTATGAGCTCCAACTGCGAACTTCCTCAGCCCAGGCTTGCTGACCCCTGTGGTATTCAGCACACACAGCCTGTGACCCCACTTGTATTGCTAACTTCCCCTCACAAAGCAGCTGTCCTTGAGGGGGCAGGGGCAGTCTTGTTCTTCTCTATGACCCCCATATCTGACAGGAGCTCGGTTAATGCCTATCGGTTGGAAGGAAAGTTAGGTGGACGGACATGAGGGTAGACGGATGGATGGGTGGATGGATGGGAAAGCAAAACAAAATGGCGAAGGGATCAATGGGTGGATTGAACCAATGGGTGAATGGTGTGGATGGTTGAATAGACAGCAGCTAGATTGACCTGGAACATTCTTCCCCTAGATCTCATGGCTAGTTCCTTCTTGTCAATCATGTCTTCACTTAGATGTCACTTTCCCAGAGAGGCTTTCCCTGACCACCCCATCTGATGTAGCGTCTCAGGTACGTTCCATCTCTAGCTGTACATTTCATTCATTTTATTAATGATCCTTCTTCCCAAGTACACTGTAAGCTCCGTGAGAGCAGGGTTCCTTGTCTTTCCTGTTCATCATCAATCTATCCCCAGCACCATAACAGTGCCTAACATACAGAAATGCAGTATTTGGTGAATTCATACATATTTGAATCATGGTCAGATAGACAGATGGACAGATAGACAAGGAAAGGGTAGATGTGCTCGTTCATTTGGTGTGTATTTATTGAGCACCAACTATGTGAGGGTGTTATGTGGGGCACCAGGAAGGACGGTCAGTAAGATCTGGCGTCTGCCCTCAGGGATTCCTCAGCCTGTGCCAGAGGGAGCAGACAGTCAGCACCCCGATGCAATGGGGTGTAGCAAGTGCTGTGACAGAGGCAAACGCTGAGGAGAGCTTCCTGGAAGGGTGTGGGACTTGAGAGTTGAGAGATGCTGGGTGAGTGAGGGAAAGTGAAAATCCCAGGAGAGGCGGGAGAGCATGGGACATTCCCGCCACTCTGACCAGCTGGCGCAGGAGACAGGAAACCTCCCCACCAAGGAATCTGGGCTTTGTCCCAAGGGCATTGAGAAGCAGGAAAGGATTTCAAGCAGACAGTGACAGAGAGGTGCTATCAGAATGCTGAAGGAGCCCTGGTTGCACAGTGGTTAAGCGCTCGGCTGCTAACTGAAAGGTCCGCAGTTCGAACCCACCAGCCGCTCCATGGGAGAAAGATGTGGCAGTCTGCTTCCGTAAAGATTACAGCCTTGGAAACCGTATGGGGTAATTCTCTGTCCTACAGGGTTGCTATTAGTTGGAATGGACTCAATGGCAACGGGTTATTAGAATGCTGAATGAATCCTCCCCCTCCCTCACCTGCCACTTCTAACTGGTCATCAAGGCCCATCCAGTCAGCTTCCAAATATCTCTTAAATGGATCCCCCTCTCTCCATCCCCATGGCCACCTGGCTCAGGACTTTATCATCTCTCACCTAGACAACGCCAAAGGCCTCCTCACAGCCTTCAGTGTGGCTCCTCCACTCTTCCCCCTCAGCTCCCATTGCCTTTTGCTTAAGCCCCAAGGGTAGCAATGATCTAACTGCTGCCATCCTTGCTGTTTTGCCCATCTGTCTCCCTTTCCAGACCTTGAGCTTCTCAGGGCTGGGGCCAAGTCTTTTTAGCTCTATATCATGAGGGCCCATGAGTAGATAGTATATATTGCATTAATCACTTCGTTAATAGATTAGTGGTGGATAGAAGAAAAGGTGGGCAATAAATGAAAAGTGACTTGTGTCAATGGGCAGGCAGACAGAAAGATGGATGAACGAATGGTGGAATGGACATATCAGTAGATGGAGAGATGAATGGATGATAGGTCACATGGATGGATGGATGGATGGTTGAATGAATGTTATCAGTAATTGAATGGATGGATGGGAGGAAGGAAGGGTGGGTGGTAGGTGGATGGATGGATGGATGGATGGATGGATGGAAGGATGAGTGGACAGGATGAGGGGATGGATGAATGAATCAGTCAATGATTGGATGGTCAGAAAGATTGGTAAATGGATAAATAAAGGAAAGAGTGAAAGGATGAATGGCTAAGTGTCTCTTGGACAACTGGCTCTTCTCTACTGCTCGACCTTGGCTCCCACCCTCCTTCCTCTCCCACCTTACCTGGTGGCCTCCTGTCGTTTGTGGAAGGTGCGGTTAGGGAAGCTGGAGGACAGGAAAGTCTCGGCATCTCCCAAGGCATGAGTCTTCCCACTCCGGCTGGAGGCCTGGACAGCAGCCCGCAAAACCTTCCAGGGCTGCTTTTGGGTCCCTATCCACATTAGGACCAAGTCAGAGACCACCCTCTTTCCCAGACCACTGGGCAGTGCCCCCAGTACCTGTAGCACAGTCCTGGGCCCCTGGCTGCTCTCCCTGCTGAGTGGCTTCCTGGGAAACCTGGGTGGTGAGCCCCTCACTCACCACAGAGGCCCTGTTCCTCCAAGTCCTGCTGTAACTGCCTCTGTAGCTTCTCCAGGTCCCATGGTCCCTCCAGCTCCTTGGCCCTCGGCTTCCTCCTCTGCGCCTTGCAGAGGTCTTTGGTGCTGGAGCTGCTCCCCTGGCTGTGGTCCTGCAGTTCACCCTTGTCCGAGTTCTTCTCACCAGAATTCCGCCCCTTCCTTCCAGACCGGGCCTTCCTCCTGTGGAGGGCCCTATGCTCCCTTTCCTCAGCCTCCTCTGCATCCTCCTGCTCCCAGCCTGGCTCCCTCCTGGGGATCTGGGGTAGTTCCCCAGGGCTCAGAGCCTGCTCGGCCTCCTCAGCACCCTGGCTTTCAGGCTCAGCAGCCTCCTCAGATTCGGGTCCCCACCCCTCTCCAGGTGGCCAGAGGCCACATTCGCTGGACTGCTCCCGCCCCTGGTGCTCCCCTTTGCCACCCCAGGCCTCTGGCTGCCGTCTCCTGTCCACGTTTGGCGCCTCCGTCTTCCGGCAGAAGCCATGGGGCCCTGGGAGGTTGGTCGTGGACTTGCGCCTGGACTTGGGCTGGTGCTGAGACTGGAAGACCGCTGGAGGCAAGGGCAGGCCCCGGGCGCCCTGGGCTGGGGCTTGGTGTCCAGAGGCCAAGGGGGAGCCAGGCTGAAGCAGGACCCGGCCATCCAAGGTAAAGCTCTCCCAGGCCCACTGGAAGGGGAAGGAGGGCTTCCGAGGTGGCAGGAGGAAGAGACTGAGGAGGGAGAAGGTGGGAGTCAGGGTGTTGGGGCCGGCCCCCAGGGGGGCCTGACGTCCCACATCCCTTCCGCCTGCGCCCCACAAGCCACTTACTCCTCGGCCTCGGCAGAGCCATGTCCTTTCTTCTTCCGGCTCAAGGGTGCCCGGTCCTTCTTTGCCGTCTGTCCTGCGCTGTGAGACCTCTGCTGCTGGCGATGAGGGGGCACTCCATCACCGCTCCCCAGGCTCCCCTGGGCGAGGACAGAAGAGGAGGCCCAGCTCCGAGCACCTCCTGGACCACCTCGAACCTTCCCCAGAGACGCCTTTCTCCTACACACCCTGGCTGGGCCCCTCTGGGTCCTAGTCACCACTAAAACTGATTATTATTGTTACATGGAAACCCTGGTGGGGTAGTGGTTAAGAGCTATGGCTGTTAACCAAAAGGTCTGCAGTTCGAATCCATCAGGCACTCCTTGGAAACCCTATGGGGCAGTTCTGCTCTGTCCTTGTAGACTCAATGGCAACAGGCTTGGGTTTTTTGTTGTTGTTACATGCCGTTGAGTTGTCCCCACCCATAGCGACCCCATAGAACAGAGTAGAACTGCCCTGTAAGATTTCCCAGGCTAGTGCACAGTGGTTAAGTGCTCAGCTGCTAACCCAAAGGTCAGCGGTTCGAACCTCCAGCCACTCTGAGGGAGAAAGATATGGCAGTCTGCTCCAGTAAACATGACATCTTTGGAATGGTCACGGAGGCAAACTGCCACATCTTTCTCCTGTGCTGGATCCCTGTGCCACCAGGACTCCTTTAAAACCGATTACTAACCTCAATTCTTAATATTAAAATGGCCACAGACACCATTTATGGAGCAGCTCTGATGAGCTCACAACTCTCCTGGATTAATTCAACCTTCCTTCCCAAGGACCTTCGGAAGTAGATACTACCACTCCCATTATGCAGATGAGAAAACTGAGGCTCAGAGAGAGGAAGTAATAACTCACCATCTGTCTCCAGAGCCCGTATTTGTCACCATTGCTCTATGCTGCCCCGGACAGCTCTTCTGGAATGCCCCACAGGGCCCTGGACTCACAATAGCCCAGGTGGAAGGAACGCCTTGTCTCCCCTAGGCCTTCTCCTCCTGCCCGTTCAAAACCCTTTGCTATCGAGTCAATTCTGACTCATGGCAACCCTACAGGACAGAGTAGAACTGCCCTATAGGGTTTCCTAGGCTGTAACCTTTACGGAAGCAGACTGCCACATCTCTCTCCTGCAGAGTGGCTTGGTGGGTTCCTACCGATGACCTTTTGGTTAGCAGTCAAGTGCTTAACCACTGTGCTACGAGAGCTCCTTGCTCCTCCTGCAGTGCTCCCTAAATTGCAGAAGCCTGGGAGCCATCTCTGGGAGTCAACCCTCATCTTCACCCCACATCCTTAGACCTCCCTGACTCTCACCAGGGCTGAAGCTCCAGCACCGTGCCTGCTCATGGGCATCCCTACCAGGGGCCTCCCCTGACCCCCAGATAGCCAGCCTGCCTCCAGGCAGTTGGAAGTTCCCCACTGGGCCTCCCTCACCTCCTCTGCCGGGACAGCGCCTGACAGAAGCTGGAGCAGCCCTGTGGCCGTCCCTGGAGCCTGAGGGCGTGTGTCCTGCCCTGGCTTCTCCGCTGTGGTCTTGACCAACTGTTGGTGGGTGTTTAGCATATTGGTGTCCTGCCCCATCCCCCGCCACCACCTGCCAGCTGTGGAACTGCCTCCCCTGCCATCTCTACGGCAACCAGTCCTTAACCAGTCTCAAGGGCTACAGCAAAAGCAGGCCAGGAAGTGGTCTGCCAGGGTGCGTGAGGCTTACTTCCTTCCAGGGCTGGCGAGTTCAGCAGGATGCTGAGGATTGCCAGGCCTGGTAAGTCCCCCGCCCTCACTCTACCTGTGTTTCCCCACCTATCTGTAGGTGGGGCCGTAGGAGTCAGGAAGGGCCCTGACGCAGTATGAAGATGCCCAGGTTGTGCCTGGGGTGTACCCTGTCCCTCAGCCTGCCTTCTGGGCTGCCCTTCCAGCCCCTGACCACGGGGGCAGGAAAGGCAGGAAGCTGAACACCTCACCCGAGAGAGGGGCAAATCAGAGCCCGATGGGGCTCTAGGGGGAGTTACAGCATTTAAATCTTATCACAAATGTCTGCGCATCACCAGAAAACCACAGGAATGTTAAATCCCCGTGGGACACCTGGCGATGTCCATGAAGGTCAGCAGTACAGGGATATGGTACCAAGCTGAGGCCCTAGGGACACTGGGCACCCAGCTCAGCCTCTCACTAGTTCTGTGGCTTTTGGCAAGTCACTTCTCCCCTCTGCAAAACTGGAGTCACAATCCCACGTCATTATTGGGAGGATTAAGTGAAGCAAGGAAGGCAGTGTACTCATTAAACATTTGTTATTATCCCTACTAATAATAACTTACCTGTATTGCAGGGCAGCAGGGCGTAACGATTAAGAGCACAGAGGAAGGGCTTGGGTTCAAATCCAGCTTATAACTGGCTGCATTTATAGCCTCGTAGCTTACTGTCTGTGCCTTCATGTCCTCATGGGTAACGGACTGGTTACAATTTGAATCTAGTTCCTAGGGCTGGTGTTGGTGCTTTTGTTGTTGTTGAGTCTGTTCCGACTCATGGCAACCTAACGTGTAACAGAACGAAGCATTGCCCAGTCCTACATCATCTTCATAATTGTTAGCATGTTGGAGTCTTTTGTGGCTATCGTGTTAATCCATCTCACTGAAGGCTTCCCTTGTTTTCACCGACCAAACAAGATGGCCTTTTCTAGGCGTTAGTCTTTTCCGATGATGTGTTCAAAGTAAGCAAGACACAGTCTCGCCATCCTCACTTCCCTAGGGCAGTGGTGAGGATTAAATCAGTTAATGTGTCCAAATGTACGTCGAACATTGACATGGCTTCTTGTAACAGCCGTGCATGCATGTCGTTGTTGATCAGCCAACGGTGGGGCCCCAGCGGGACAGGTTGTGGAAGTATACCCCAGCAGATGCGTAGGAGGCGAGTTTTCTCTGCCCTTTGGTCCTGTGGACCCTCTTCTGCTCTCAGACTCAGTCCCAGTAACACTTTGGCAATGAGCGCATCTGATTTAACATCTAAATAAGGGGACATCGTTTGCCACCCAAAATATGCAAATGCTGTTCTTTCTGGTGGGCTGCCATCCCCACCCATCCATCTCTTCTACTGAATGTCACTCAGGGAAACTCAAGGCACATTTTCAGAGATGGAGCTGCTGCTCCCTCCAAACCCCAACCAGCTGATTTCCTGGCAGTTCAAACCTCTGGGTTACTTTCTTCCTTGACAGTCAGCAGGTCTTGGCTTCTCTGGCCTAGATTTTCATGGGAGTCCCTGGGTGATGCAAACGCTTAAGGCACTCAGCTGCTAACTGAAAGACTGGAGGTTCTAGTCTACCCAGAGGCACCTCAGAAGGAAGGCCTGGTGATCTACTTCTGAAAAATCAGCCATTGAAAACCCTGTGGAGCACAGTTCTACTCTGACAAATACGGGGTTGCCATGAGTTAGACTTGATTTGACAGTGACTGTCCTTTTTTTAATGTATGTACTAGGGTAAGTCAAAAAGTATTGCTACAAGATTATAGAAATCTTTATTAAACAAAAATATCAAAATGTGTCTTCCTTGTAGGCTGTCTTAGTTATCTGGTGCTGCTATAACAGAAATATCACAAGTGGATGGCTTCAACAAAGAGTTTATTCCCTCACAGTCTAGTAGGCTACAAGTCCAAATTCAGAGCATCAGCTCCAGGGGAACTCTTTCTCTCTCTGTTGGCTCTGGAGGAAGGTCCTTGTCATCAATCTTCCTTTGGTCGAAGAGCTTCTCAGGCACAGAGACCCCCGGTCCAAGGGATGCACTCTGCTACCGATGCTGCTTTTTTGGTGGTATGAGGTCCCCCTGTCTCCTGCTCCCTTCTCTCTTTTATATCTCCAAAGAGATTGGCTTAAGACACAAGCTAATCTTGTAGATTCATCAATGTAACTGCCACTAATCCATCTAACGAACATCATAGCGATAGGCTTTACAACACATTGGAAAATCACATCAGATGACAAAATGATGGACAATCACACAATACTGGGAATCATGGCATAGCCAAGTTGACAGATATTTTTGGGGACACAAATCAACCTATGACATAGGCATTTGTATATTATTCTATCACGGACAGTGTTGTACTTCAGGATAGATCTTGAAATATTCTTTTTGATAATGAATGTGATGCTGTTCCTATTCAATTTGTCATTCCAAGTATAATAACCCATATGATTGTTCCATTCAAAATGGCCAAACCAGTCCATTTCAGCTCACTAATGCCTAGGATATCTATGTGCAAGTGTTCCATTTCATTTTTGACAACTTCCCAGTTTCCTAGATTGATACTTCATACATTCCATGTTCCAATTATTAATAGATGTTTTTAGCTGTTTCTTCTCATTTTGAGTTGTAGCACATCACCAAAAGAAGGTCCCAAATGCTTTACTCCATCCATGCCATTAAGGTCAACTCTACTTTGAGGAGGCAGCTCTTCCCCAGTGGCATTTTGGATGCCTTCCAACCTGAGGGACGCATCTTCTGGTGCTACGTCAGAAAATGTTCCCCTGCTATTCATAAGGTTTTCGTTGGCCAATTTTTTAAGAAATAGATCACCAGATTCTACTTTCTAGTCTATCTCTGTCTGGAAGCTCTGCTGAAACCTGTCCACCATGGGTAACCCTGCTGGTATTTGAAATATACCAGCTTCCAGCGTCACAGCAACGCACAACCCACAACAGCACAACAAACTGACAGACGAGAGGTGGAATGGAATATTACGCAGCCATAAAGAAAAGGGATTCTGATTCATGCTATGACGTAGATGAACCTTGAAAACATTATGCTGAGTGAAATAAATCAGTCGCAAAAGGACGAAAATAGTGTGATCCAACTTATATGAAATACCTAGAGTAAACAAACTCATAGAGAGAAAAAGGAGATTAATGATTACCAGGGGCTGGGAGAAGAAGGAATGGAGAGTTACTGCTTAATGGGTACTGAGTTGCTGTTTCGAGTGATGAAAAAGTCTGGGAAATCGGTAGTGGTGATAGTTACACACACTGTGAATATAATTAATGCCATTGAATTATACACTTAACAATGCACATTTAAAAGTGGTTAAAGGAGCGCTGGTGTCACAGTGGTTAAGGCCTTGGCTACTAGCTGAAAAGTCAGCGTTTCTAACCCACGAGCTGCTCCATGGGAGAAAGATGTGGCAGTCTGCTTCCATAAAGATTATAGCCTTGGAAACCCTGTGGCGCATGTGAAATTCTAGGGGGAGTAGTTGTAATAATAGCATTTTCCTAACCTGTTTAACTTCAGGGAGGATAATGACCAGGATCAGCCCCAAACTGATGCCCATAAGGCAGAAATCAGACATACCTCCACCCTCCAACCTTTTTTCGAATTCGGACACCGGCTGTCCCTCCCACAGCACTCTGCTTCTCTTTGGGGTTCGATAATCCACTGCAATGGCCACGCAGAACTCGCAGACCATACTTCCAGTTAAGGGGCTTATTCAGGAACAGGGGAGCCCTGGTTAAGAGCTTGGCTGCTAACAGAAAGGTCGGTAGTTCAAATCCACCAACCTGCTCCTTGGAAACCCCATGGGGCAGTTCTACTCTGTCCTGTAGGGTCGCTATGAGTTGGAATCAACTTGACGGCAACATGTTAAGGAACAGGGTACAACTCAAGATCAGGATCAACAGGCTACAACTGAGGATCAGGATTGGGAAGCACGTAGACAAAGTCTCCCTTCTATGGTGCAGGATAGCTCTCTCAGCTCTTGGCCATGCAGGCCTCCTCTCAACCCCCTGAGGACAAGCCTCCTCTTGGTCCTGCCATCTCTCCCTACCAGCTCTGCCACTGGGCCCCTTCTGCGCCTCTCATTGTCTTCAGCGTTATAGGCCTTGACCTGTGTTATAATTCTTTTAGGAGAGTCCTTGCCTCCTCTCTTTCTCTCTGCTTCTTTCTGTCTCCTAAATTCTGTGGGGCTGGCCACTTAAATACACAAACTCCTTGTCAATTTCAAGGCATGGCACATCCACCAGGGGCCACGAACTGACCCATCCCTTCTCGGTAGGCCACAGGCACTTCATTTGCATAGTAGGTGAGGCTGGGCTACAACTCACCTCATTTGCATAGTCTATTGACCAATCCCTATAAGGTGCATACCAATCACAGACAGGCTGCAGCCCAGGACCAGACAAAAAGCATCCAACCAAGTTGTTTACAGCTTGCCCAGGAAATGTCAATCAACCTGGACAAAAGTAACAAACTCTCTGGAGTAGAAAACTAGGGCATAGGTAACTCCTCAGGGTTTAAAGGAAAAATCTCTCAAGCTGTTTTTCCAAAGAACCAAGGCAAAAGGCCACATAAAGGAACTCATTTCACCACAGGGCAGTTCTACTCTGTTGTATAGTCACTATGAATTAGAATTGACTTTATGGCAATGATTTTATAGAAAAATGGTTAAAACTGTTCATTTAAAAATGGTTAAAATGGCAAATCTATACCTATGTATCTATAGAGAGAGATTGGTTTATTTTGAGGAATTGGCTTTCATGAGTGTGAGGACTGGCAAGTTCAAAATCTGTAGGTCAGGTGACAGACTGGAAATTCCAGCATT